TTCATTTTAATGTACACTTGTAGTGAATCATCTAAATGTGACTTTTGAGATAAGTCTCTTTTATTTTTTGATTAACATTTAGATTTTCTGTTTGCAGTGAAATTACCCTGACATTCAGGTTTGCACCTTCACTAGTTACACTGATTGTTCTGCTGATTTACTAAAATTAAGTCAAAATACGTAGACAAAGCACTTTATATTTTCCTTCTCAATTTAAAAAATCTGTGAGACTATATAATTACATGAAAAAAAATTTCTAGCCAAAACATAACATTTTAAAAGCATAGCTGCTTTTAAACTATGAAACTAATTCTAAAATTTAATATGCAAAATAAAAAAGGAAGTGTAAATCGTTACTAAATTTATATAAAACTTAAAAATATATTTCTAATGTGAAAGCTGATGAAAAATTTGCATTGAAAAAAAACAAGACTTTGCAATTATACTCACTGAGAAATCAAAATGTTAATTTAAACTTAAGCAAAAACAAATTGTATCTTCTTGAATAAACCAGCCTTAACCTAACCAGCATAGTTTCTACATTAAATCTTTACTTCTTTAACTTAAAAGCTAGAAGTTCTTCATATAACATAAAAAAACAGTGGTTTTATGAATCAAGATTAAATTATAGTTACTTATGAGTAATTCAAAAAATAAAAGTGTAATTTCCCAGGATTGTTCCCCATCAATTTAATATATGTAAAATGTGTCAGATTAACACCATAATACATACTTGATACTAAATAACTCAATTTCAGCCATATAACTTAAAAAAAAAACAGAACATGTAACTAAAAAGAATTGGCTATTTAAAAAGAAAATACAGTGGCATAAAATATGCTCTTATTGTACACAATAGCAAAACATAGTTTAATAAAACATTGAATTGCATTAGGGGAACGCTCCTCTGCTCGGCTATCTGGGCACACAATGACGCACTGTTTCCCCCTGCATGGTCATTCAAAGAGATTACAAGCGCTACAGGACATAGGTATCTCATGCTTTAAGTCTGCAGCCACAGGGCAAGCCTGAAAAACACTTTGATTGCACTCGGTTTTGTAGAATTGTTCAGACCTCCCGGGGTGCCTGCCGTAGAAAAGATTTTGAAAATGGCTGACAGGTTTCTTTGAAATCTTGTGAGTTATACCCCAGCAAACTGTCACGCATTGCTGAGCACATGACAAAACGCAGTAACATATTTCAGTTTTATCACCTTGCCTTCTTCTAATTTTCCTTTTGCCTCTGTTTATTGAGCTAATTTGGTGACTCTGGGTGTCCCAGACTCTGATTTATTGGTAGAGTCTGACTAGTGGCCATGGACTCAGGACCTTTGTGATATTACAGCGAGAGAACAGGGATAATGAAACGCTTGCTGCCAGAGTTTCACTGGGACCTCTAAATGGGCTTAGGTGGGGACAGAGCGTGCAAGAACACATTCACCTTTCCAAGGAGGATTTGAAATTAAAAAAAAAAAGATCTGTTACAAGGTCTCAGTCAATTTCTATCCAACGCAAACCTTCGCTTTTGATCCTAAAAAAAGCATCACAGCTAGATAAAGCCACCTATAAATAAGTACACCTGGTGCCGTTTGAAGGCTCTCAAAGTGACAAGGCTGACTGTAGACGAATCTGAAATATGTTGCAAGTCTTCACATAAAGAAAATATGCGACAGCATGCTTCAGATAAAGAAGTCACATATGCCAACCCTTTTGTCAACAAACACTGCTGCTCAGCTGGCTTCCTGCTGTAACAATAAGAAGCATCACAACATGTCAAGTAACGAAAGGCTGTGAGCTGAAGCGACTGACCATTATCTAGTCAGTGAGCAGGAAAAAAGGGAATGTCTTCCAAAGGGACGGCACAAACAGTAAATTGGTCCTTCACTACACCATGAAGTAGTCTATACTACAAAATGCCTTCTCAATTGAAGCTTTTTCTCTTAAACAGAACTACCTACTCACCGATTAAATGTCTCCATGTCAACAAAAAAAGATGTCTGAAACCTTAAAGTAGAGAAGTGCTGTGTTTCTCTGAACAGACTCAAGGAATCTAAAGATCTCTTACCATTCATCTCGTCATTCCTCTACCTTTTTTATTGCTCAACATTAAAAGTGAGGGGGCAAAAACCACAGATTCCTAAAAATGCACTCAGACTAGCTTTGGACTTTTGCATAAAACAAACAAGACAAATGAAGGATATTGTTGAAAACAAGAGTGTAATTAATCTTTTACTCTTCAAATAGTGTGAGGTTTTAATATTACGACAGCCTGAGAAATGAGAAACAACATTACTCTGGGGCATCAAGTGGTGCTGCCAGAATTTCACTGGAATCTCGAAATCAGCTTTGATGGGGACCAAATGTTATGAATCATCTCACGTTGGGAGGTACATGTATCGCTACAGGCCTAGCAGAGAATCATATGTACCTTATGTTGTTCTAGCAAGAATAAAACTGGAGTGATTACATGTAATGGCCTTTAAAAAAACCACAAGACATTTGGGACATTCGATAATAAACCACATGAGTTTTTCACCCATCTGTTCCTAAACCAAGCTTAACCACTTATTTCAAAACAATGGAGCTTCACTGGTGCACATGTTTTTCAATCATTCTAGCTGCTTATCACCCAGTCTTTTAGGCTTTTGCTTATGCTAATAACATAGATACCAGTAGACAGACTTATCGAGGGGGAAAAAGAAAACAAAGGCCAGGAGTTTCAGAGAGAGAAGAGCTGTGGCGGAGCAGTCCGGAAGTAGAAAACAACACCAGGAGGTCCAGCGTCTGGATGCAGGCAGCCAAAGAGTAGCGTTGCCGTGACAACAGTGATGCCATGTCGATGATTATAGCCGAGCAGCTTGCAGCCAGAACTCGACAAACATTGTCTGTATATGTAATATATTTATTCAGCTGCACTGCATATCAAAAGAAAAATCAGTTCTCTGTGACATCATTCCTCTCCGTCATTTGGAGCAAACAGTGTGCGCCTTCTTCTGAGGTACTGCTAAAGCTGACAGACCAGCTGCTCACCTAAAACACAGTGGGACCTGATCAATACAGCAACGGTGAGTGGAGAATGTGGCTGCTGTGGTCTCCCACATTGACAGAAATAATGGATCAGCTTTCGGGTCACAGTGGACTCATTGTACCAGCAGCATGACCACTGAGGTTTCCTGCCTCTGCACCTCTTTGTTTCAAGTCTTTTAATTAAAGAGCTGGGCAAGAGAATTCCCTAACAGGCTTAGCTATTGGCAGCCCTGCAACTAGGACTGATTGTTCAATTCAGGATTTAGTCAGTAAAGCTTTGTGTGACCAACACATAGTGCTTTAATTCGTCAGGGTGTCAGGCCCTTGTATGTGTTACCGCATCAGAGCGGGATTCGCAATTAAAGGCATCGGCCTAGAACTGAGGGGAAAAAAGGCCAGGTGTTTGCCTAAAATACTTGAGAGTGTTTCAGCTGAATGCTCTGATGAGCTTTCACTGATCTGATGTGGACCAATCCTGAGTCCCTTCCTCTTTCGCTGCATCAGCTGGTGATTTCTGAGCACATAGCCACTGCAGCATCCTACCTCCTCCTCCTACTCGATCTCTCCTCTCCTCCCCCACTCTCCTTCAACCCTCCACCTGCTTTTAAATGCATGGTGCTGCCCTGCCAAGCCAAACCAGTCTGTGCATGCAGCATCACTCCTCTCCGTCTCCTCCAGAAGGAGACAAGATTGGAGTGAGCAAGCAAAGCCCCTCTGCTGCACACAGCAGCACCAATAGCTGATTGAGAGATAAGAGGCAACCTGAATCAGGATGGCTTAAGGTATCCAGTGGGAGAGAGAGAGAAAAATAAACACAGGCCTCTGCAAACACAAACCCCTCAAAATAGGAACTGGCCAGAATCCTAAAATCTAAAAACAGATGCTTGGATCATTCAACTTGTTCTTTTACAAGAGAATCAATAAGGATCAGAGGCTATTTCTTGTAGCAAATATATGCAGTACCCCTGCATGATGCATGGAGGAGGTGGACACAACCTACACAGACATCCTATATCTTCATAAAGCTCCACATGACACATGTCTACTGTACATTTTGGTTGTTTCGTAACAATCCACACTAGTCATCTCAGTAGCCTCGGCTGGATTAAATCCTCTCTGATGTGTTGTGCTGAACAGGCCCAGCATTACCGACACAACCTCTGATGGAAGAGTAAAGACGGGAGGAGGAAGGGGGTGGTTGCAACCTATATCAGCTCCATAAATAACAGCAATGTGAAGCACAATAATATAAACCACTAAACGCTTCAAAGCTACCGATACATCACTCCCTTTTGCGCACAGGATGCAGCGCCCAGCCTGCCTGCTTGCAACAATAGGCCTGTGCATATTTTTTTCTCTTCATAAACGCATACGGATGTCGGTGGATAGCATAAAGCTAAGTCGGGCCTTTGTCCGATGATGCTGGATGAGTGCGTCTCAGAGGTGACACATCTGGCATGCATGCGTGATTCTGCGCGAATTAAAGCCGTTTGGGTCATGATGTTGTGCGCAAAATCGTCCGTTCGTCCCCCGCATCACTTCGGGTTACAGATCGGGGTCAGGAGAATAACCACAATGCATTGTGTCTGGCGTCCACCACTGCTTCTCTGGATATGTCTGTTTATGTCTTTCCACCCAACAACAATCTGGTCATTTAGTCAACAATGGCTGGTGATTAGACTAACCTCAAAGCCCCTGCTGGAGTCACATGCCTCTGTCTGCCTCCACAATAATACAGCCTCATTTTTTCCGCAACCTAAAGCATTTTTATCTACAGAAATTGTTAAAAAGGCGAGCGTTTACATCCCCTGAACAAATAAATGACATCATCGCCTGAAAGCCACACAACCAAAGGGGGGAGTGAAGGAAGCTTCGTAAATAAAACATAGCGAGTTGGGGCGCAGTGATTCTACTGTTTTCTATGGCTTCCTCTCTCTCTGTCTGTTTTCTCCAGCTTTCCTCGCATCCACTCACCAGGTTCAGCACCGTCTCCACGATGTCCCGGTTGCTAACCTCCCCAACCTGGATCAGGCCCACCAGCACGGCGAATTTCATCTGGATATTCCTAATCGGAACCGCGGGGTTGATCACCCCGGCCGGGAGAACCATGGAGCCGGCCGCAGACACCATCTTTTCCCCGGTGGAGCCGGAGCCAGCGCCCGCGGCGACCTGCTGCTGCGGCGGCGGCGGCTGAGCGGAGGACCCCGCCGGCGCAGGAGGGAGAGGGGGATGCGAGTCTTGGTCTGTGTCCGTGAGCGAGGAAGCAGAGCCCGGTGGTGCTGAAACCGGCGTCTCGCTCGACATTTCCCCTTGGAAAACAGGGAGGAGAGGAGCGGTCGCCGCTGTCTCTCACACCTGCTTTACAAGCTCGGGCGTCTGCTGTTGTTCAAAAACCATCCACTGAGGAGTAAAAAAGAAAAAAAAACAAGAATCCCGGTGTTTTAAAAATCCTCTGAATTCACCTTATCCACCTGAAAACATGTAGGGATGCATAAGGCTAGAGGGGGAAAACTACATCGCCTTGACAGAAGCCTATGTTCCTATCTCTCTTTCTCTCTTCTGTATCCCCCTCTCATTGGCAGGTTGCAGTCAGTGCGGTGATTATGGCAAGGCGACATATCATATAATTTGGATTCTCCAAACATTTCAGCCATAGATAAGGCAGGTCACACCACTAAACAATCCAAGTAAGTTTCACTGTGAAGTTCATAATTTCCATTTATCAATGTTAACTGAGGTGAATTACATCAAACTATGTTGTTAAATATTGATGCTTAGATACACTGCACATCACTATATGTGAGTTGTGAATAAACAATCTTGTTCTTGTTAATGTGCAATGTGGTATGGTAAAGCAAGAGTCAGAACCTGGTCTGAATCCACAAAACAGGGACAGTTTTAACTTTAATGCTAAAAAACTATGCATTTCAGTTTGTATAGTTTACGAATAACTTGAAAATGATGTAAATCAGGAATGTACTAAACTGATGTATTTGACAGCTCAACCACATTGCACATACATACCAATTAACTGCTTGTGGTTTTTATAAAATATGTCACTTGTTTCGACATAAAAACGTTTCACCTAAAAATCAATGAGCAATAACCACTCAGTGTGAAGAGAAAAAAGGTTTGAAAGTCCATCAAGTTTTTAAAAAACTGCATTATCTTACTGCACAGCACTGACACCTTAACTTTGTGTTAAAATGATTTCTTTTGAAAAATAAATTATATTTTCCCATTATATCATAGTGATATAATGGCAGCATCTTGGTTTGATGCAAATCTCAATAGAAAAACGCATATTTCTCCACTTCGTGATCTCATTCACAGGTCATCAAAAGCTATAAAGAACTGATGTGGAAGTGTCTGCGAAACATATCCAAAGTTCCCTATAAACCTTAAAACTTAGAAGCCTTTTGTTTGTTTGTTTTTTTTGGTAGAGTTATATGATTTGTTTATTGTATCATTTCTATTTTGTAAATATCTTCAACCAAGCTATTTATGAACAAATTTTCACTTCAGATTTTTTTGTTTCTTTGTTTCATTTGAATGATTGCGACATTAATTTCAAATAAAACACAACACCCATCAGGTGACTAGTACCACTATCTCTAAAATAATACGGAGACGGGAGTCGGATTATATCGTACAATTACCTTCCATAAATGGATCCATGTTGACGCCCCCTGTGTGCGGCATGCGCACTTCAAGGCTCCCTGGGAGGGTATTGAAGCAGAATAACATGGAGCCATCCATGCATGGGTTCATGTAGAGCACAGACCTGCAAGGAAAGGCTTTGTTTTTGTTATGATTTTTAAAATATATTTTCCTAACAAATAGTTATCAGTTGTTCAGGCAAAAAACTAACACAGAATGGGAAAATAACCAAGCAATTACTCAGTTGGGGTGAGTACAGGGGCAATTCAAGTGGAGTTCAGTTTAGGGCGTGTGATTTCTAGGCAGAGACTGTTTATATATTTAATGACAGAATGGAATATTACTACTCTGAAGGCCAGATATTTTTCAGACAGATGCAGTCAACAAAGTTTATCACACGAAAGTATATTTTGACCTTCACTTTGGATTACAATTTTTGTAATACAATTAAGGAAAAAAAAACAATTAAAACATCTTTTTTTGTAATTTTGTCAAAACTTACATTTGTCAAATAGTAATGTATTGTTGGCCAATTTAAACTATTTCTTTAACACAATACAGGCATGCTTAGGAATTTTACGTGTTTATTTTTTTTATTATTATTCTTCCATCCATTTCCTTACACCTTTGTCCCTATAGTGGGGTCAGAAGGGATGCAGATGCCCCTCTCCAGCGAAACAGGTGAGGGGCGGGGTCACATCACAGGGCAACTCAGAGACAGACAGGGCAAACAACCACACACATGCATACTCACACTCACACCTGAGGAGAATTCAGCGACCAGTTAACTTAACAGTCATGTTTTTGGACAGTGGGAGAAACCTGGAGTATCTAATACTGTACGCATGCACAGGGAGAACACGCAAACTCCATGCAGAAGGACCGGGGCCTGGGAATCAAACACCAGGACCTTCTTACTGCAAGGCAACAGTGCTACCAACTGCACCACTGTACAGCCCCTATTAGTATTTGTTTTAATTCAAATGTTTTTAAAAAAATTGTATTGTGACCATTTTGATTAAAATCCACATGGGCTATGTTGGCCTTGTGAAATATAAATTTTTTTTGATTATTATTATTATTTATTTCTTCTACAAAAATATGCAGGATTTGAGATAAACAAATTAAGCTAAACTGAGGTTTCTGTGTTTTGTTTTGTTGTTATTTTTTTATCATTTGTTTCACCATACAGTTACAGGCAATTCTACCAAATGCAAAGGAAATGTAAATTTCTGATTTCTGATTGATTTTAGAAAATCTAGGTGTTACAATTTGCATTAGTAATTTTTTTGTGTATGTAAATAAAGATTTGGCATCTTTGAACATTAACTAACAGATAAAGCCAAAAACCACATATTCAAATAATGTCCCACTAACACTCCATGTTGGCTACATCAGCCATATAGTCAACAACCTGCGTGTGTGTGTACATAAGGCTGTTTTGTGCACCATGTGCTCTTCAACAGAGCACATCTGCTGGGTAGGATTTGCTTTAACAAGGAGGTTATGAGGGCTGATTTGTTTTTCTCTCTGTGCCTGTCTGTTTGTTGGAGAGCATTTTCATACAGGCAGATATGTCTCTTGCATGCATCCCTCCTTATCTTTTTGAATTACTGGCCATTGATAAGGGCATCAAGCTGTGACTTATAGCCTTTGCAGTTTCTCTCTCTCTCTCTCTCTCTCTCTCTCTCTCTCTCTCTCTATATATATATATATATATATATATATGTGTGTGTGTGTGTGTGTGTGTGTGTGTGTGTGTGTGTGTGTGTGTGTGTGTGTGTGTGTGTGTGTGTGTGTGTGTGTGTGTCTTATGTGTGTGACCAAGTTACATCATTAGTGAACTTCACAGATGAGCAGAGATTGTCTCATTTTCTCCTCAGTACCAATCTTCAACGTAGAAGAAACTGAGGGAGACAATCACAAACTCTGCTCAGCACACATCTGCGACACACTTCCCCTCACACCTCCAAGAAGCTATTTCTCAAACTAACACATTGCATGTAGCTCTCATTCACGCTCACACTTGGATTCACACACATGTGCACAAGCACAATGGCAAGTTCCCCTCACACACAAACACATTCCTCTTTGTTTCCAGACAAAGGCTCTCCTCTGCAGCTCTGTCATGACTCTACAAAGGACTCCGTCTTGAGAGAAAGTGACTTCCGACTAGTGACTGGATGAAAAACATGAAAAACAACCTTCTTGCTTTTCTTAATCTCCCGTTTGTCTTCTGCATCATGTCTTTCCTTTCTAGATATGCTGCCCTTGCAGTCAGGAAGGTATTTGTCTTCCAGTTCAGTTCCATTTTATTTTACAGCATCTTTCAGCATAATGCTGGAGCTACTGAGAAGAGGAGGACTTGGTGAGCATCAGGCAGATCAGAGGTGACACCTGTCAGAAAAGATTTGATGAGTGAAAGAGATGCATTAAATGCATTTGACTGCTCATTATTTTATTAACATGAAATTGCTAACTAGATTTCCAGCGCTGAAATGTAAAATTGTAACTTCCAGGTTGGTTGTTGTTAGGATACAGAGATAAACAGAGATTACCTCAGACAGTGATGAAAACGCAGGTAATAACTTCCTGTTTTCACAGACAAATGTGAGTCATCAGCAAGATGGCTGTGAGTTAGTGCGTCCATTTGCACTCTAGTGTGTAATTTCTGTCGATATTTGTCTGTGTGAGAGGGAGAGTGTGATAAAGATGAGAACTGTTCTGATTACAGAACTGAACAAGCATCAATTTTCTGGGACTTTTTGCAATTTGTCAAAGTAATTACATATAATTTCATAGAATTTGTTACTTGACAATTACTTATCCACTCTAACATTAGCTGATGTATGATGAAAACACACATTGAGTTTTAATTCTTCATGTCCATTTCTTTCCATTTATTTGCTAGCACTGCAGCTAATGCACTGCCATCCTAATTTGAGTTTGATTTATTCCTACACTTTTCACATTTCAGATAATGAAAGAACATGAAAACAACTTGAGTAAATATAAAATGTGGCTTTAAAATGTGAACATATGAAGAGAAAAAAATTCTAACCAATCTTGTTCCATTTCAAAACGTCATTACCCTCAAATCTAACTTCACCTTGTGTCATCAGCTACCGCCAAGATGTGCGCAACCTCTATAGGAAGAACGTCATCCCAATTTTCTTTGCAAAATTATATTATTACATTCATATTAGGAGAGTTAGAGCATGAGTATCCTGTTTTAGGTTTAATCACAGCACCTCAGTCCAATCAGATCTTCATCTTGGTTTTCTAAAGCCATTAGGATGAGAATTTGCTACAGACTGTTGTGCTGCTGCATAACCGAAATACGCTTATGGTTTAGATTATTAGCTGATAGACGTTCTCATTGAAAGTTTTTGTGCAGAGAATTTATGGTCCTATCAATTATGAAAAAGCATTTACACCCTTCATTTACACTTCCACCACAGCATTTAACTACAGTGTTTTCTGAACGACTGTTTGTTTTGCAGACATAATGGGACACATACCTTCAACTATTTAGACTTTTATTTTGTCAGTTCACAAACGTTTTTCCCGAAGGTCTTGAGCATCATCATGTTTTTTTGTTGTTGTTCGGTGAAAATGTTTTTTAACTTCAGTCTCTTGTTTCAAGGCAATGGGTGTCATATTTGCATAATATTTTTCTTATTGTTGAATCATGAACTCTGACCTTTACAGATACCAATGAGGCCTGTGGAGTTAAAGATGTTGTACTGGGTGTTTTGCGATGTTGTGGGTGAGTCATTGAAACAGTAATTTGGCAGAGACCATCAGCAATGATCTGTGTTTTCGTCATTTATGGAGAAAGACTCTGGTTTGAGGACAATTACTTTTTCGCATATGGCT